ACGGAAATAAAAGTCGGCTCACCTTCATGAAACGCCGGCCCCACCAATTAGCCTAGCAGCCTGTAATTAGCCTCCGAAGCACTCCTTCACTCGAGAAGTCTCTTCGCACTCAGATAAAGTAACACCACAAAAAGGTCTTGTTCATTTTTTTTTAATTTTCAATATTCAAAAGATAGTTCGTAACGGCACTGAAAAGTTTTTTGCGCGATCGTACGCGGACGTTTGGGAGCAGAGGAGACGTGCACTCGCTACAACGGCTGGGAAGCGAATGAGTAGGAGGCCGCGATACTAGGCGGGGAGTGTTGTCCTTCCTTTTCTCGTAGCAAAGTTTAGCCATTGCGGAGCTTTTCCCTCGCAGAGGACGAACCCCATGTTACCTTTTGTCACTAGAGAAACGCTTAACGCCGTAAGTGGGCAGATTGTGCGGTATTGCATTTAGGCCTAAATAAAAACGATACTGAATCAAATTTCGATCGGTTGAATGCATTTCGAATACTTTCCGTGATTTAAATGATAATTAAATTACTTAAAGTTGAATCGACTTGTGTGTTTTGCTGTGTGTAACCATGTAAGTTCTCGACATTGTGGATTATTTTATACATTTTGTAACTAAAAAAATACGGATTGAATTAAACTATTGTGTTATGTAATAGATATACAATTTACTATTGTATATTTATCATATCTGGAAGGATAAATATTAATTACCACTAAAATAACTATTAATAACTATGCGTGTGATGTACATTGTATGTTTCTAAATCAAAAATTCGACCGCAAAATATTCCCATGTAATTCCGGAGTGCATTCGCTATCGCATGAGCTTGCGTACCATTCATCATTGATAAAACTAGTTGGTGACACCTCGTTCATTGCGGCGGCGGCAGGCGGGGAACACTGACGCCGGAGGGGCATCCCTGTTGCACTTATACCCCATTGTTACAGCTTATATCCATTAAACCTTGATTTTTATTAAAGCGTGTACATCGCTTTTTATTTTTTATACACTAAGTTTCTTTATTCAAAATTGTATTTCTTACTAATATTATAAATGCGATATAATGCGTATAGATGGATGGAAGTTTATTCTAAGATATCTCCTGAACGAATCTCACTGATATTTGGCATAGTTCTAAACATAGACTGGAAGAACAGATAGGCTACTAATTAAGTTTTTTAATTACGCGCAGACGGAGTCGCTGGCGTCACCTGGTAATACAATAATGCCATCAAAAGAAACATATTAATCGCACAAATTATGCGATTTAAATAAGAAAGTCTATAGCCTCCGTCTGATAAAAAAGACAACAAATGTATAGGGATATTTTAATAAAATATTGTTTAGGTAAATAATGCAGCTAAATAAATTTCAAATGGACCAGTTAATATAAACGGCATTGTGCAATATGTTAGCTCTGAGAGAGTTTTATTATATTTAACTAATTCTTTACTTATTATGATGAATAATTATGATATAGTGAAACAATTAATTAGTAAACGTTAGTTCCAAGATATGAAAAGTACATGTAGGTTCACCGACGTATTAGTACTTTAAAAAACTAAGATTATTTTGTACATATTTTTTTAAACTACTCTTAAGAACCAATTTATTATCTGTTCATTTCAAAACTGTACTTGAAAAGGATCTTGTCAAATACTATAGAAAGTAAAAGGGTTGATACTTGCGTCCTGTTATAATTTTTTGTAAACAGGCTCTCTCCTGCATTCACTCAATTAAGGCGACGTAAAAGGGGTGCCGTAAAATTTGATTTATCGCCGTCGAATATAATGCATTCAATTAAAATAATTATTAGTCTTCACTACACATAAGAATGGAATATATTAGCTTTTTACTTTAGTATTGTATAGTAATAAGCAAGAAAATGATACTCAAGATATTATCTTACTACTAATCCAACCAAACCAAAGTTCAAATGTATGGATGTTTGTTCAATCTCCAGAAAGGCTCAACAGATCTAGATGAAATATGACATATATGTAGAGCAGTATAGAAGAACGCATAGGCTACTAATTACGCGCCGACGGATTCGCGGAAAACAGCTTGTATTGTCAAAATGTATAAAAAGATTAGAAGAAGGCCGCCGGCAAATTAGAGACGAGCGCGATGGAATCAAAAGTATAGCACAACACATCGATACGCAGGATACGAGCGTTAGCGGAGTCGCACTTTTGTTTACATTGGACCGCTCCGCCTGTCGCGCTGCCCCGTACATCCCGAATTTCATACATACAAGATTTTCTACAATTCACATATACTATATCTTATTTAGTTTCTTGAAACATAAACTTTATTATTATGTTAAAGAGTGGGATTCAAAACGTTTGTATGAAAGGACTGAGATTTTAAATTTTACATTTTCAATAAATGGGAATATTTAAAAGGGGTCAGACAAACAAGCGGGTCTTGCCGCATTTGATTCGTCATTAGGCAGAATAGAATGGTTCAATTTAAGGGCGCATGACATGAATACGCTAAAATTCCTAAATAAATCGAAGGGAACGCCTTGCGTTTCTATATCAATTTGCGATCCATTCAACACAGGCCTTACCGGTAGTGCGTTGCTACCGTTATTATCGATAAAAAAAATCGCTTAAATTCAATAAAATATTATATTTTAATAATAATATACTTTTCAAATTTAAACACGATAACATTTTTGGGAAAGTTATTTAAATTATAAGAAATTTCCCGCCTTTCCCGAACGTTAAAAATCTTTGCTAATATTATACAGAGGAAAATTATTACTCTTTGTTTGTATGGAATAGGCTCCGAAAGTACTGAACTGATTTGAAAAATTGATTCAATGTTGGAAACCTACACTGTTGTAGGATGGGATTGGCTACTTTTTTAATTCCGAGAGCATGAAGTCGCGGGCTGATGCTTGTACGTTTAAAAGTAATAAAATAATTCACTATTTAATAAATAATAATATGTAAATATATTTTAAATCACTGTTTACTATATTATTTCAGTCTCGAAACAAACAGAAAGTACATAGTTAAAGCCTAAAGTGACATACAGATACATTGAAGATATTTGATGATAATTGTCTTTCGTTATCTGTAAATAGATCTTAAAGTTAACAAATCATTGTATTAATTATATCTTGCTTTGTATGAATTATAGCGTGTAAACATTGTGCGCGTGAATAGATGACATATCCTTGTCGTGCGGATAGATGCATAAATAAATTAACATCGCATCCGACATATCGATAAATCAAATGAACATCACTACGGCACGGCGGGCCACATTGGCGCATTTATTTTCTATTCCAGCTTAATTTATTGCGTGTAACTGGAAACATGCGCACTCACAAATCATAGGTCGCCTTATGAGCTTTCAGCGACGTTTTGTCACTTGCTTGTTTGAAAGAAACACGAGCTTTACGGTTTTGAAGGGAAGTTACAAATGATTTCTTAATTTGCTTCTTCATGCGAGGGCTTGTTCGCATTATGACAAGAAATATACGATTGTAAAGACACCTTAGAAGTTTTTCATCATTGTTACAAAGTTTAGAAGACTTTTTTTACAATATTAATTTCTACAATACTCGTATGAAACCTACAAACTTGTGAAACGTATTTGGACGTAATTAAAAAACTTAATTATTTACCGACATTTTCTTCCAGACTACATTTATATTCCAAATTTCAGCGAGATGCCTACAGCCGTTTTGGATATACCTTCTTACAATCATCCATCCATCAAAACTTTCGCATTTATATTATAAATTTTAACTACAAATGCATAATCATAGTATAAAATATAAAAACCATAACTTTCATTTCACTATTAATTATTATTTAACATCCTATCCACTAATCAAAATACCATAAAATATAAATGAAATATTATAGCTTGTAATATGAATACATTATAATTAAAATGCCATATGTGGTATTGTTTGACCGACGTAGCAATTACTGTGATATCGAATAGCTAATTGATGACCACGATACGATGTTCATATTCGATTCTTCGATTAGACGTGACGTCACCGACTGTCACAGACTAATTAACAAATAAAATCTGATGCTTACATTACAGTATAACATTACAAAGCTATGACCCAACAAACATTTTATTTCAATATCGTTAATGAAGTAAGAATGTATGCGTGTTAGAACGTATCTCCAGATCGACTGCATAGATCTAAATGAAATATAATATAGCTACTATTTTTTTTTATTCTGCGCGGACGCCGTAGCTGCAACAGCCAGTATTGCCATAATGTACAAAAAGTTTGGTATATTCTTTAGTATGTATAATTTCAAATGTAATACAGATTAAGCAGAGAGTTATTCTTAAACTATTAAAGGTATAGGAGCGGTTTAATTCAATCGGAACTGATCCATTGAATGTAAAGAAAAATGGCTTAAACGTTTCCGTCCCAAGTTTCATTGATTTCGCCTTAAATCAATTAATCATTCTTATCGGGTTATTTCGCTGACTTTTTCCGCTTAGGGACTTTAAGGCGGCTGGCCATTGAGTTGTTATGGAGAAACGGCCGGCATTGTGCCCCATTCGGACCATTGTTCGTAACAATTGTGATATAAACTGATGGAGCCGACCGAAGTGAACTGACGATTAGTCTTCTCAGACGATAGACATTGTATAGTATTTAGGCTTCCTTGAATTGATTAAAATGTCCATTGCCGATTTATATAACTGAATATCTACAGTAAGACAATGCGATTCTTACTTACATTAATTTGTTATTGACCCTACGATAACCACGGACTTATGTGTTAGGCCCAAATGAAACTACAAAATGCTAACATATTAAAAGAAAGCATGACTAACAGACTATCGTCATCCTTGTTTTTTTTATCTTTGAGTAAACAGAGATAACAATATGTTTTAAACGGAGATTTTCAGAAACCCACTGTAAACAAATACATATAAAATTTCTCGAACCGAAGTATTTTTTCCAATCATGAAAGTTAAAGTACAAATCCCAAACTCAGATTCGATTCAAAACGACTGAGATCGGTTGACAGTGTAATAACCTTAATTCCCTAGTTAAGCACCAGCAATGACATAAGCCCACTCAAAGCGTAGTTAACGTTAAAGTCAAAATTGGCAAACGGCTTGGTAACCGTTAAACTGTACTTATTGGTAATTTTTATAACCTCGTTTAAATTACTGGCACTAAGAATACTTTTAGCACTTGTAAGCCGCCCGTACTCTGTCCGCGCGGTGTTAAAAAAACATAATTGGTAGCCTATG